GATTTGCAATTCTCTTAATGCCATATGACATAGAACAGTTTTCTTACACATGCTTATTTTCCTTATTTTCTTATACATGCTCAGATTTATTTGCCCACTTTAAATTGGATTTCTGTTTTCTTATGGTTTGATTTTCAGAGTTTTGTGCACATTAAAATACATCTTTTATCAGATATGTGTTTCACAGAACATTTACCCCTGTCTCTTGCTTGTCTTTTCATCATCTTAGCATTATCTTTTCACAGTGGAAGTTTCTAATTTTATTAGAGTCCAATTTTTCTCTTTTTTCTTAGATTGCTGATATTTTTAGTGTTTCATCTGAAAAGTTCTTCATCAAATCCAAGGTCACCTGGTGTTTGCCTCTGTAAGTTTGAACAACATTTAAAATTGTGATAAAATGCTTGCGAATAAATGAATCATTTCTCCATGGACAAATGTGTGAGGAAATTAGTGAAACATTTTAGGAAAAAGCCCTCAACATTAGAAAAAGTATAAAATATTCATACCCTGTTCACACTGACTCAGTTTCCACATTAATATGCATTCCTTATAAGTTATTATATGCATTTATCCCAGAATTTCTGCTTAAATATGCTGATTGTATTAATTATAGCCACCAAAGAGAAACACACGTGATCATGAGGTGGAGATTTGTTCAATGCGTTAATGTAAGAAATAAATTGGAATTCTAGAGAGTAGTCCAAATCTAAGATTGATATATATGTGCTATAAGGCAAAGATTCTGGATCCATTTTAATAAGTGAATATACTGGTTTGTTATGCCCACCATAGCAAAGTACCTCAACCTGGATTACATAAACAGCAGATAGTTACTGTCTCATAATTTTGGAGTCTGGTAGCCAAAGAGCAAGGCATTTGGAAGGTTGGTTCCTTCTGAGGGCTGTGAGGGAAGGATGTTTTCCTGGCCTCTCTCCTTGCCTTGTAGATGGCCATCTTCAATCCATGCATGCTCACATTGTCATCCCTCTACTCATATCTCTGTGTCCAAATTTCCCTTTTTAATAATGACTCCCATGATGTTTAGGGCCTGCATTCATAACCTCATTTTAACTTGATTGCCTCTGAAATAATCCTATCTCCAAATAATGCCACATTTTAATTTAAAGAGAATTTAACCTATGGTAGTACAAAGGCAACTGACATATCTATATGTATATCATTACCCACGTATAGTTATCTTTATAAGCATGTATAAATATATATGTAATATATGTGTATATAGATTACCACATCTGTCTTTAAAATCTTGAAATCAGTTTCTAAAATTTACACACCACATAGTTAATTGGGAAAACTTCTGAGTAAGAGGCTGAATTTTGGAGGAACTTTGCAAAGGGGAAAAATGTGATTTCTGTGTATTTTTAGAATTTTTTTGCAGCAATAACATATGCAGTATTTATTTGTGAGAAAAGCATTAAAGTAAGCCTAATAAAAGAAAGAGTAGCAGTGTAGTAGTCAGATAAAGTAATAGTAAGCTGATGGAATGGAAAAATTTCCTGAAATTTACATGGCTTAACACATTTGAATTCCTATTTTAGTTGGCTAAAATAGGGTGTTATGGGCTTAATTCTATCTCTCTCTCTAAATGCATATATTCAAGTCTTAACCCTCAGTACCTCAGAATGTCACTGTATTTGGAGATAGAAACTTTGAAGAGGTAATTAAGTTAAAATTGGGTCTTATTATTAGGGTCGTATTCAATATTACTGGTGGATGTCCTCATAAGAAGAGGAGATTAGGATACAGACACACAAACCAAGGGACAACCATATAAAAATTGAGTGAGAAGGTGGCCATTTGCAAGTCAGGGAGATGCCACAGAAGAAATTAACTGGCAAAAATCTTGTTCTTCGATTTGTAGCCTCCAGAAATGTAAGAAAATACATGGGTATCGTTTAAGTCACCCAGTCTGTGGTATGTTGTTAGGGCATAGTAAACTAATACACAGTGAGTCTTGGCTCTCATGTCACTCAGGTATCCAAGCTGCTTTCAACTTGTAGCTTTAAATCATAACAGATGTTTACTGCTGAAAATAAATGATAGCATTGGAATGATACACTGGCTTCTGTCTAACTGCAAATGAGCCAACTAGGAAGACAAGTTAGACAAGAAGAAGATTGGCAATTGTAATGTCTTGTATAAGCCATTATGGTGCGCAATTAAAAGCAACTATTATAATTTATGACAGTAAGTCTTTTAATTTTTAGGAATTATTTCTGGGAAAGCCTGCATTGCCTTGAAATTTTCCAGTTTTTTATTGCAACTACTACGTGATTGGACGTTTCAAAGAAAGGATTAGAACAATAGGTTTTAAAATAATTCTGTGAGTCTTGGCAGGGAGGGTCAACCTTATTCCCTCAATAGCACTTTGCTACACCATCCTTTTTATAATCCATATAATTTCTTTAGGCTGAGAATCCTCCATACCCTTTGGTGTATGGTAAATAACCTACCTTGAGAGACTCTGCTACCCTTCTTGAACAACTGCACATGTGCCTGTGGCATGCTGCAAACCAGGATTTTCCTGTGTGGCAGATACACAGACAAAGGACCATGGAAAGATGGTCAACCATTGTTTTCTTTTCTCATCAGAGCTAGCTAAGGAACCCTTGTCACCTCCTAGGCAGTATTCAGGATTTTGTTATTATTCTGTTTTTCAGAAATTCAACTCTTTGTAATTTATTTACAAAGTGATTCTCATAGCCTTATCTCATATACCAAGTTTATCAAGGAAGTTTTAGTTTTTGACCACCTAGTATAGCTCATTCATCTGTGTATCTCTTCAGTGGCCTGTTTCAAACAATGCCACTACAAATATATTAAAATCCTAATACAAATATCAAACATTAGGATGATCTCAAAAACTCTCTTACCTTAGGATTACATCCCTAGTACCAGTATATTATGTGGCAGATCAGAATCTAGTCACCACTGTATGTGGGAATATTTTGAGAGTGTGTTGAAGATGCCCAGGTTAGGTATGGAAATGTCCCTATCCAAAATGAAAATGTACATCAGAGTGCTGTTATCACACAGAAGCCAGGGGGAGGGATGGATCAGTCAGGGAACTTCTGCAGGGATGAGGAGGCATCTATGTCAGGGGAAGAACTGGTGATTCTGGGTTGTTACACTGGAAGCAGGGCAAAGCCTTCACACAGAGAGATTGCAGGGACGAGCTGGTCAGCAGAACAGGCTAGAGAGTTGCTCAAGAGAGCACATAAGAGAGATCAGAAGGAGGGTGCTGTAAAGTGGAAAAGTGCTGAGGCTGGACAGAACTGCTGGCACCTGAACAGAGTCAGCTCTTGAACCTAGCATTCAGAATAGGAATAGGTAAACTAAGCCCACAGTGATCCCCAAATTGTATTTATTCTCATTGTCACCATTCTTCTCCCCACCTACCTGAACACCTTGGACACAGGGTTCATCTTTATGTCACCCGAGAGATGATAGCAAGTATGCAGACAAGTAGCTTAAAAGGCAAAGGCCTTCCCCAGTCTTGGAAGAGTGGGGATAGTATGGGTCAAGATAAATTCAGAGCAAGGCTCAAGTGCCAGCACTGTCACTTTCTAGCCATGTGGTCTTGCTGAATTTATCAAGCAAGATGAGACTTCAGGTTCTTCATCTGTAAAAGGGGTTTCATAAGCCCTGCCTTGTAGAATTGTTGGATGTTTTTGAGTAAAACACGTGGCACAGTGCCAAGCATATATTGGAATTTTAACAAATGGCAGTTATCAATATAAATATAACCCCAAGGCTACAACTGTCTTTTATGAAAAAAATTTGCTCTTGTTTTTGTGATCCAAAACATTTCAGAGCATATGTAGCTGTGCATGCCATGGAGTACCAACTCAACCAAAAATCCAGCTTCATAAATAAAACTCAGTACATTTTCTTTCTGAAATGATACATTGTATACGTTGGGTAAGTGGAAAATTCCCCAAGTGGAATGCAACTCAGTGATCCTAGAACTTGTGTCAAGGACCAACTCCTTTTCACCTTTCCCAATGCTTGTCAATCCAAATCACTATTTGTATGTATCCTCCACTAAAAATCTATCCCTTGCTTAGAGTTGGCCACATTACATTCAAAATAACTTAGTTAAATGGCCTTTCCATGGAGGGGGCTTTGGCTCTCCCACACCAGTTAAGTGACTGCCAGCCTAGAGGCTTCTGGGCAGCACTTCAAGGGATTATCATTCTATTTCTCAGGAAACCCTTGCAGATGATGTGTATCAATCACCTAGTCCTTGCACTGTGTTCAGGCTCACCAGTACAATAGTCACAGGACCCCTTCCATTACTTCCCCATGTGGAGATTCCTCTCTGCTTCATCCTCCACCCAGAAGCAACCGTTCAGAGCAGTTTTCCGTTCCAGGCTCTTCTCCCACCCTTTGAGAGTCTGGTCCCTGCCACCATCCAGCTTCATAACTACCAGCTCCCACACGGGCAACCGCAGTTTTCCAAAGCTCCAAGCTGTCTTAGCTCAGGACCTTTATACTTGGAGGCTCGCATCTGGAGTCTAACCTCCCCAGCCCTTTCTTGTTATTTAGATTGTAGAGAACATCTTACCACCTTCTTGATATGGCTTCTGCTCCTAGATTCTACTGTTTTATGGGCAGAGATAAGTCATGCTTTTATTAGTATTGCCACTACTAACAGTTACTTCCACAAGCAAATACTAAAAGAATGTTCAGCAAATAAAGGACTCAGTGCGGCTTTCTTTTATTAAGAGTTAATTTCTGCTGCTTTCTTCAACAAGCTAAGCAAAGCCAGGTATACATCTTTAATTTTCAAGAACAAAACACCAAGCGGGACAGGGAAATGCAAATATTGACCATCCTGTATTTTGTTCCACTATTTAACTGCTGACTTATTGTACATTGTAAGAAAATGCTTATTACAATACCACTCTATATTGTTACAGATCACAGAGTAAGAGAGAAGGTATTTCCTTTATTATTTTTTTTTTACAAAATATCAAACTGTTACTCTTAAACCAGATAAACAGCAATACATATGTGACTAATATTCATAAATCAAGATTCTAAAGCTAACTACCTGCTACTCAAAGAGAGAACATTTAAAAAGTACCAAAAAACAGGAACATCACTACATTACCAATATGGGACTGAAATGCAAAGAACACTGTTCCTTGAGCCCAACCTGGCCCTCCACTACCTAGAAGCTTGACTGCCTTCTTCAAACCCAGAGGGAAGAAACTACCCTAGACTTCACTCAAAAGAGGAGTGGATGCTGAATGTCACTGAGGCTTTCACTGGCCTTGTCAGTGGCATCATCTTTGGTGGAAATTATAGCCTGGGCTCTCTCCCCCACATTTTTCAAAGCATCCTTGTACCAGGATGGAAAGGAATCAGGGACAGTGTTGTTCAGCTTGGCCAAAAACTCTAGTACTTTCTTCTTGCTGCTTTCTGAATGGGCTCTTGGACCCCATAGGAAGTCATAACATGGAGGAGAAGTGTTGGGCACCTCCCGGCATTCCAGGTATTGTTCCTGCACCCAAACTTTAGTGAGGAGCTCCTTGGGCTCCCCATAGATGAAGTGTTCCCTCCCAGCATACACCCCTATTGCATTCAGCACGTTCCAGATGGCCTCCTCAGAGGCACAGCCGCCCTTTATGAAGATTATACTCAGAATAAGAATCAGGAGGCTGTTCTTGGGCGTGCCCTGGTCGTCACTACTACCCTTGTCAGTGGGGTCTACTGTGTCTGCAAATGCATAGGAGTGGTCAGGGTCTACTTCTATCAGGGCAAGACCAAAAAGAAGCTCCATGAACTCACGCGCTTTCTCAAGTACTGTAGGAAAGTAGTCTTGGTAGCTGAGGACAATGATTAGCATCTCTGCCTCTGTTACAGGCTCCTTTGCTTCAAATTTGAGAAGCAGGAACTGTACTACCTCAGCCACCTTTTCATCTAGTGTATTTGTGAACAAGGACTCACTGTCTGACAGGCACTGAGAAGTACTTGTATCCTCCCCTTTCTGGCTGCTGGACTCTCCACTGACTGGGCTCCATGAAACAGAGGAGGAGGAGTTCATAGGATTCTGAGAAGGACTCTGTAGAGGACTATTGGGAGTGCTCTGGGGAAGACTTGACATCCCAGGAGACAGCTCCTCTTCCTCCTTCTCCTCCTCCTCCTCATCCTCCTCCCCCTCCTCTCCCTCCTCCTCCTCCTCGCCCGAACCAGGAGAAGAAGATAAGGAGGGGGAAGGTGGAAATATGTAGGCATAGGAAGAGGACATGGAGGAAGCTTCCTCATCTGTGGGAATCTGTGCATCTGCCGAGTCCTCTATCACACCTGGGTTCTGGGGGTCTTCCCCATCGCTGGGGAATGGATGGGGAGACATAACTTCTTCAGGAGCAGCAGGTAAACCTATCAACAGGGATATGGATGATGGGATCCAACAGACCTGTGGAAGAGAGTGACAGTGTGAGTGGCCCCAGCTGAGAAAGGCACCCATGATGGCTCTGACAAAGTCCAACTTACAGCTCTTCTTCTCTTAAGGTGGTGCTCTAGGGCCTCACAGGTTGCCTGTCTTCCTAGGGGGTTTGTCCCCTGGTAACCTGCAGGAAAATGTGAAAAAGCACCTCAGGGCACAGTTGACAGGCAGAACCTGGGGCACCAGGAATGACAGTAAGTGGTTAGGGCTGGGTGCTGTGGGACTTTCTCTGTTCCTAGTAGGTAGGGCACTTGGTACACAGGGTATGCTCTCACCTTGACTGCTGGTTTGCCTGAACCTCCTCTGCTGTGTTGACTTTTAGGAAGTGCAACTCAGACCCAGTTCGTCACCACCTGGTTCCTGGGGCACCTGCAAGAGGAATTGAGGGAGCCCCTGTGGCTAAAGACTGCAGCTGGGGCTGGCCAGATTCCTAGAGCCCCACAGTTCTGGGGTTCGTGGCCCACTCAGAATTTAATTAGCATTGTCACATTTTCTCAGATCAGGCCATGTCCCTACCACTCTGCTGGCCTGAGGCAAAACCTCAGGGCAACCTCCACATCCCTGAGAGCAGAGAGAGGTAGTGAGGTGGCAGCCACGTCCCATACTCTACCACGGGGGCAGTCGGGGCAGCCTCACATCTGCCCTGATGCACATGTGACACCTCAGTCGTCATTCTTATCCCCAGCAGGGCCTGGGAATCTTCCCTCTGCCAACCGGAGGCAGCTGCCTCTGCTGACTTGCCGTGGGACCCTCAGACCAAGGCCTCCCACTCTCCTACACCCCCCACTCAGAAATGAGGGGGCAGCGGCTCAGCCTGAGCCAACTGGGGAGCTCTACCAGGGCTGATATGAGGAGCAGGGTGGGGATCTCTGGGAATATGTCCTCTGAGGTGGGGGTTTCCCTTGCTCTCCTCAAAGTCTTCCTATTTATTCCCTAGAGGGCCGGCACCTCCTCCCTCCTTCTGTCGTGGGGATGCGTCCCTCAGCTCTCGGCGGCCATTTTCCTGTCTGGGACCTACAAGTCCAGGGGCAGGGTGGGCCGGAGCTTCTTCTCTCTATGGTGGGTGGTTCCTCAGTTCTCTCTCAGGGCCCTCACCTTGAGGACTGGCCAGCTCTGAGACTCTTCCCTCCACTGACCTGAGTCAAGCCTCCTCACAAAACGCCTCAGGTTGTTCAGACTCCCAAGATGGAAGTCTGGAAAGCACATCCGGGGACCCTGCAGGGCTGACGGAAGGGGTGGCCTGGAGCGTGGGGCGTGGTCTCCTCTGGGCGTGACGTCCTCTCTGCAGAGGAACCACCCCCCCACCTCTCCACCTCTTTTCCATCACTTCCTTTCCACCTCCCAGCCACCCTTCACCCCTTCCCGCTCACGCCGTAAGACTTGCGGACCTCTTCCCTCCCACCTTCCAAGTACCAGGCACCCCACCCTCCTTTTTCCAGAGGTGACAATAAGGAGTGGCTGTGTGTAGTCTGTGCATCCCATCCTTATTGGAAAGTCACCATCCTTACACAGAGTTCTGTTGTTGTTTTTTGTCCAGTCCTGGGGCTCCTACCTCTGTGTAACTGAAGCTGCCATCCTCAGAGAAAACCTCCAACTGACTCCCAAAATAGAAGTCAGAAAGTTGTACATCGGGGACCCTGATGGGCTCCTCCAGAGCTGGCAGCAGGCACAGGGACAGGGGAGGGGCGCTGCTAGCCGTGGGTGTTCCTTTCCAGCCTTTCTGAGAGGCTGTGCCTGGACTTCTGATCCTGCCTGGGGTCCCTGCCTCTGTGCATCAATCTTTCACCTCCGAATGAGCCCCTCCCATCCCTTAGACCAGCAAGGTAGAAGAGAGGGAGAATCATATCCATCCACAGTGGGATAGGGCCTCCGAAGCCCATGGCAGGGCTCCAGTGCCCTCTGTCTGAAATGGCATGGACAAGACTTTCTCTTCCTGCAGTTACTATTCCTGACAGGGCCTCGGAGTTCCTTCTCCTGCTGTCCAGAGACTATGTTCTTCAGATCAAGGTTCCCATTTCCGTGAGACCCACCCACCCCACCCCCCTCAACAAGAGGAAGTAAAGAGCACTAGCATCCCTACCTGAGGGCCCTGCCCAAGGCCTCTCAGGGATGAAAACAGGAGCTGGTTTTGTGTGCCCTTCTGTTTCTTCGGAGAGATGCCTCACCAGTCCTTCCTTTGTGTCATCCTTGGGATGCCTAGAAGGGCCCAGGTCCCTTCCCCTCTCATGATCTGAATTGAGACTCACTTGAGCACAGCCCTCTCCTCTTTCTACTCTGTAAGAAGTCAGGGGATGCCACAGTGGGCCACCATGCCCCAGGGACTCTCAGGGATGACAGCAGGTAGGAAGCTGGATTCTGTGGATCCTCCTCTTTGTGGGCAAGGAGTCTCTGCAGTTTTCCCTCAAAGGCCTCATCTCACTACTGTTTGGTCCTGGGTCTCCCTGTCCTTCCCATGATGGCAGTATGACACAGGGAAAAAAATAATGTGACTTTACCCTGAAGAAAGGAGAAAAAACACTACATTGCCATGGTGATTAAATTAACATCATCAGTGACAAATTATGTTTGTCCTACATATGGCGGATATGGAATATTTGGGAATTTTGGCATTATCATAATAAGTTTTCCATATATCTAAAATTAACCTAAAATAGTTTTTTTAAGAAAAAAATGTGATGTTAGCAAATTAGGTTAAGTTTTATTTAAATCTTAATAGCAAATATTACACTTACCTGGGAAAATTTAAAACTTCTACTTTGAAATTAGTAACTAAACAAGAATTCCTGCTATAATCAATTTCTATTCAATTGTCTAATAAAGGTAGTGGCCAGTGCAGTAATATAAAGCAGATATAAAAGCAGTAAGGATGTTAATGTAGAAAATAGTGTTTCCATGAGTAACAGATTATTAGACTGTTTATGACATAATTCAGAACTAAAGAAAAGCACCTTAATGTATAAATCAGTACATGTGGTTGCCAGGTAAAAGTTCAGTATACAGAAATAAACCTTGTTGGTTTTTTTTTTGTAGGAGCAAAGAGTATGAAAAAAATAGTAAGCAAAGTGTAACCTGTAACATATCATACCAAAATATCAATTAAAATAAATTTACCAATAAAATTTAATAACTTTACAGAAAATAATAAATGTAGCATTTAGATTGATTGATGAGCCCCTACATACATTCATACATTTTTGCTTTTTTCAATTTTAATTTATAATTTGGGGGGTGTATTATAGGTGTATTTTTTTATGGGTTACATGAGATGTTTTGATACAGGCATGAAATACATAATAATCATCACAGGGTAAATGGGGTATCCATTAAATCAATTATGTATCCTTGGTGTTACAAACAATCCAATTATACTCTTATTTACTTTAAATGTACAATTATTTTTTCACTATTATCACCCCGTTGTGCTAGCAAATACTGGCTCTTATTCAGTGTTTCTGTTTTTTTCTACCCATTAACTCTCCCAACTTTCCCACGCCCTCTCACTACCCTTATCATCCTCTGGTAACCATCCCTCTATTCTCTATCTCCATGAGTTCAATCGTATTGATTTTTAGCTCCCACAAATAATGAGAATATAGTTTGTCTTTTCTGCCTGGCTTATTTCATTGAACATAATGACCTATAATTTTGATCATATGCTGCAAATGACAGTAACTCATTCTCTTTTATGGCCAAATAGTACTCCATTGTGTATATGTACTATTGTGAATAGTGCTGCCATAAACATGGGAATGCAGATATCTTTTCGATATACTGATTTCCTTTCTTTTCTGTATCTAGCAAGCAACTGGATTGCTGGATCATAGGATAACTCTATTTTTAGTATTTGGAGGAACCTCCAAACTGTTCTCCATAGCAGCTGTGCTAATTTACATTCCCACCAACAGTATGCAAGTGTTTCCTTTTGTTCACATCCTCACCAGCATTTGTTATTGATACCAAAGCGAGGCAGGGAAGTGCTGGGTAGAGGAGGGCCTGGTCCTTGGTTAGGGCTCCACTCCTAGACCTGTGCCCATGGACCTAGGTGAGGACAGGCATTTCTGTTTTCCTGCCCAAATGTTGCATTTCCCAAGACCACCTTGGCCTGCCATGCCCCCATCCTGTGCTTGTAAAACCCCTGAGACCCTAGCAGGCAGACACATAGCAGCTGGACATGGAGAGGAACACATCTACAGAAGATGACACAAGTGGCTGGACATTGAGAGGACGTCAAGGGGAGCATGCCAGCAGAAGAGCACACAACACACACGGGCACGCCCACAGGCTATTGACCAGAAGAATGAGGTGGAGTTTGGCTGGGGCAGTCAGCGGAGAGCCCAGGCTGCCGAGTGACCTGACTCCAGGGGAAATCCATCTCCCTTCTGGCTCCCCCATCTGCTAAGAGCTACTTCCACTCAATAAAACCTTGCACTCATTCTCCAAGCCCACATGTGATCCGATTCTTTTGGTATACAAAGGCAAGAAGCCCGGGTTACAGCAAGCCCTATGTCCTTGCGACAAGTCAGGGGTCTAATTGAGCTGACTATCACAAGCCACCTACAGAGGCTAAACTAAAAGAGCACCCTGGAACACACACCCACTGGGGCTTCAGCTGTAAACATTCACCCCTAGACACTGCCATGTGTTTGGAGCCCCACAACCTGCCTGTCTGTATGCTCCCCAAGACGTTTGAGCAGTGGGGCACCGAAGAAGTGAGCCACACCCCCACTGCGTGCCCTGTGAGGGGGATAAGGAAACTTTTCCCATTTGATTATTGCTGGACTTCTGGATAAAACCTGTTATAACTGGGATGAGAAGCTATCACATTTTAGTTTTTACTTGCAATTCTCTGATCAGTGATGTTGAGTACCTTCTCATATACCTGTTTGCCATATATATACCTTCTTTTGAAAAATGTCTATTCAGATCTTTTGCTCATTTTTAATCAGATTATTAGATTTTTTAATAGATTTTTTCCTGTGGCATTATTATATAGTTATATATCCTTGTGTATTCTGATTATC